TCTCTGTTGTACGTTGTGTGTCGAGTTATTGCCCAGGTACTGTAAGTTAAGTTGACTTCTTTAATCATTTGACTGGACTCTGAAAACTATGAGCTTTTGGTAATTGTTGTCGTAATTAAGCGTCCCTGCCGTTTCAGACTGAAGATAGCGAGATCGATGTGGACGAGGACGATGAGGAAGATGAGGAGGGCGAGGAGGAGGAGGAGGAGAGCAAGGATTTGGAGGATGACAGTCTGGAGGGCCCAGTGTCGAGGGGTGCTCGCCCCTCCAGGGGGGGCCTGAGACCGCCCGTGCTGGAGGAGAGTGACAATGACTTCTGAATGAAGAGCACACACATACACATGAGCTCCAGCTGTTTCTGTATTCCAGCTCAGATTAGAACATCTCAGTACTTCTCAGAAATATACATTGATTATGTTCCATCAGTTTATTTCAACATAAAGCGTTAATATAGTTACTATTTTTTAATATTGGTGTAAACCTAAATAAAATATTTACAATTAAAAATGTTGTCTGTGTCCCTTGACTCAAATATGACAGTCAGTCGGTCAAATTGATCATAATTATTAACATTTTCAGCAATTTTAGTAAAACACTGAACTTTTAACTCTGTTGTAGCCTTTAGATAAAGTCCAGAAAGGCAGATTTTACATTTGTATCTAAATGACATATATCATTTCTTTGACAGTGAAGAAAGTGGTAGTTTTATGTGCTCAATATGTGACCGAAAATGACTTTCAGAGGAAAACTGAATGAAAAACATCAAGAATAAAAACACCTAAAACCAGATAACAGGTATAGATTTCGATGTGGCAAAACGTGTTGCCAAATAAAGATGCATTTTAGAAACAAGTAGTATTCATCTCAAACATTTCAAGTACATTTACGTTACAAATACAACGTTTTCCTCAAAAAAAAAACAAAAAAAACAAAAACATGAATCAACAGACTGATCGTCCATCGGGCCATGTGACCACAGGAGACGTACGCCATCAGAGTGCGCGGTGGTCGGAGGGAGAAGGAGGAGGAGGAGGAGGTGGCAGATGCCTCTTCGATACAACAGTCTACTGTCGGCTGCTTACGACCTGTTCTTCCTCTCATACTGGTACGAAACCGTGTTTACACTCGCCTCGTTTGTGTATCGCGATCCTTATCCTTTCAGCTCAAGTGTCTGCGCAGTGACAGAGGAACTGAAGCGACTCTCGGACAGACACAGCGGCTATTGTTTATCAGGACAACATCAGTGAGCCGAAGCTAACGAGCTACACCGACTGCAGCTCTTTGTATACTTGGAGAGGTTTCTGTTATGGCTTAGTTAAAGTGCTCTTTGCCAACTTGCCTTGTTTTGTTTTTTTGCTAACCCACACTTTCAAACTGGTGCTCAGTTATTGTGGCTGTCGAGCAGGAAAAAGCAAATGGCTTGTGTTTATTTAGACGTTATAGTAAATGAGTTTAGGTAACGGCGGATTACTACCATCTTACATGAGCTGCTGCACATTGACTGCAATTTAAACACTTTACACAATCATGTTTTATTTCAGTTAATAGGGGAGAGTCACCCAAAACAAAAAGTCTGACAAAAAAAAAAGAATTTTGTGTTATAATAATAATTTTAGGTATTGGATTGGTTGAATTAAATGATATTAAAAACAGACTGTATCAGTACTTGGTTGCAGCCTTGGAAAGTCACTTCTTCAGTCAAACTCTCTCTGATGATTGTTTTCCTCATTTCCCAGCTGAAGAGCAGCTGTTGGGATGCCAAAGAAGTTCCAGGGCGAGAACTCCAAGGCGGCCACAGCCAAAGCCCGCAAAGCCGAGGCCAAGGCAGAGGCAGACGCCCGCAAGAAGAAGCAGGAAGAGGATGCTCTGTGGCAGGAAACTGACAAACATGTACTCAAAAAAGAGCAGAGAAAGGTGAGCTGTCTCTCCGGGTTGGTGTCAATTTCAAACTGCCTCCCTTTGGCTTTGAGCATTTTTCATTTGTCGTCACTGTGATACTTCTTGGATGATGGGTGTAGAGTCAGTTAACAAAGTGAAAGTCGTAGTCCCTTCATGCCACACACACAGAGAGAGAGCAAAACAGATGATACAATTTAGATGAGAATAGCAGAACGAATAGAATAAAATACAAACAATATACAGTTATTTTCATACATATAAACATGCACATATACACACAGGCATTTTTTAAATTTGCGTGTGAGGGAATGTCAACAGCGGCAACAAGATGGTGATGCTTTCATCTTTAAATAAAATGTTCAGGATTGGATAAACGTCCAAAGAATGTCCACCTTCTTTGTCTTGCCGGAGTCAGCTCCGAAGACGGCCCGTCGATTGCCTAATCCAGGATATTGTTGCCGGAGGTCTCTGTAAAGATGTGGGAACACAACACAACATGCATTTTTTAAGCACAAAAGTCTGATGAGAAAGCTTTCGGCCGTTGCAGGACGACAAGGAGAAGAAGAGGCTCGAGCTTCTGGAGAGGAAAAAGGAAAATCAGCGACTTCTGGATGAAGAGAGTGCTAGGATAAAAGGCAGAGCCCAGAAGGAGGCTGCATCTGGAGGAAAAGTGACCCGTGCCCAGATCGAGGACGTGCTTCAGAACGAGAAGATGCAACAGGAGCAGCAGGAGCTCAAACCCAAAGGTAAAGTTCAGGTTGAGTAGGATGACACCAGTACGCTGGTTGGAATAAATATGAAACTTTAGTGGAGATCGGCTATATTCCAGCAGCATTAACTGGTTGGAGGATCAAATCAGTGCATTTTCTTTAACCTGATGCAACATTGTTATGTTTCAAATGAAATTTTGTCCCACAGAAAAGAGCCACCTGGAGACTCCACTGGAAGAGAACGTGAACAGAATTATCCCTGAAGAAGGAACCATCGAAGCTAGAACAATAGAAGATGCCATCGCTGTGCTCAGGTACCGATTGTTCACCGTTCTCTGTGACATCCTGTTGTTCCTTGTGATTACTCTGATGTCGATTTAAATTGAGTTTTAAGGCTACAAAACAGCAACAACGACTAGTGAGTCTTCATCATTACATCCTCTCTTCCTGTCTCCAGCACGGGGCCTGAGGACGTGGACCACCACCCGGAGCGGAGGATGAAAGCAGCGTTTGCCGCCTATGAGGAGGTCAACATGCCCCGCCTAAAAAAGGAGAACCCCAACATGAGGTTGTCGCAGCTGAAGCAACAGCTGAAGAAGGAGTGGATGAAGGCGCCAGAGAACCCCCTGAACCAACGCTTTGCCACCTACAACACAAAGTGAATGCACTCTTCCCCCCCATAACTCCATTTGAAAACTGTCTGCCTATGCACATTGGAGACTTCCATAGAAAAATTGAATAATCTCATCTAAAAAAAAACAAGTGTTGCTGAAGAGAGCTTCACCAGAGGTACCGGAGGACTCCGCTTTGTCACAACTGATCATCAGAAATTTAATTATATAATTTTTTTTCCCAAGCACTTCTGGGGAGGTGGGGAGCCAGATGTTTTGAGAGTAACTTATTAAAGTTCGCCACTCGATCATCAACATTTCTTGTTGTTTTTAAATGCCTGACTTCTCTCTTGTTGGGAGATACATAAATCAAGTCACATACTTTCTGCCAACTGGTTAGCTGAGCTGCTGTCGCCAGTGGATTAAGAGTGTGTGTTTTAGGCATACAACAATGCCTAACCCTTTTAAAAACAACATTGCATTTACTCTAAAATAAAGCTGGATGGCTGAGTGGTTACAAAGATTAACTGTAACAGCTTTTTGTGCTGTTGTCATGTCCGTCAGCCAGACGACAAGGACCAGGGAGTCTGTTAAAAGCAGCAAATGTAAAATGTGATACTGTTACTTTCGTACTGTTGAGTTTGTGCTGTTGTCTCATTACCTGCAATGCAAATGCTCATGCTCAAGTATTCACACAAGTATGTGCGCCCTGATACCTTCCCTCCAGTATTTTAAGGCGGTATCCTCAGCAGAGGCGTGGTATAGCAGCTTGTACCAATAAAATAAACTGTCACTTCATTTCCTTATAACCCAACTGCAGGAATTGAGACCTAATTCAGCTGTGTTTACAGGCAAGATTTTATTAGTACAAAAAAAACTTAACAGCATAAAGCCGTCATCAGAGTTACAAAACAAATGTGAATCTATAGAGTCAATGAAATATTCTGTTTTAACCATCTCCAGGCCTCTGAACTTGGCCTTCCTTATCTTCTCTAGCAGATCCTTTGGCCATAAGCCAGTTATTTCAAGGCCCTATTAGCTTCATAAATTAGGTGGGCAAGTGAAATGAAAGTAGATTGTGACTGACTGAAAACAGACGGCTCGGGTTATGATCTAAACACTCAGAGCTGTGTTGGTGCTTTGTTTAAATTGTGTATAGATGCAGCTTTCCTTTTAATCACTAGTCACACACCTGCTTTTAAAATAAGTTATATAAACTGTTATTCTGTGGTTGTCAAAACAAAAGAACTTAAATGCAGTTAATTGCGACAACACTTGTTTTTTGCCTCCTAACATTTACAGAATTATTTATGTAGGATTGATTTAACACCGCCATGGTAGTAGTTGTTTCTTTTGAGTTAGTTAGTTAGTCATTTATATAAGCAGCAATGGTGTCCAGTGCTGCCGTTGGTCACAAAGGTTTTCTCCAGCGCAGCAACATTTATATACTGAGCTGCTGAGGCAGCAAGCTGTTGGCTTTGCAGGTTTGTCTGATAGCAGTTGCAGAGTCAGAAAGCAGCAGTAACATAGTTAAAACAATTTAACAATAATATCTGCAGTATTATTTGGGAAATAACCACACAACATGGCTCCTCCACAGGCCTGAAAATGAAAGGGAAATATGTAGAGCAAGTGTAGCCAGTTTTAGATGCTTGGGAAATACATATACATATATATATGTTTTATGGCCAATAATTAAGAAAATAAATTCACTTCACTTTGAAAGGCAACAGGGATGTTTCAGGTTTGCAGATCTTTATTTCAAAATGGAAGCAAGCCCCCACAAAACACCAATCCTCCTGCTGGCTAAATGTAGACTTTGAACATCTTTGATCTTTTAAATTGACAGTGTAGTGTTTTTTTAAAAGAATATACCTTTGGAGGTACTCACTGGTTTGATTCATTCAGAACCAGATTTTAAAATGTCCACCTTTGTCCAGCCAGGCTCTTGTGGCGGAGGAGATAAGAGACTGTGCGAAGGCCTTTGAACCACAGAGCTTCAATGACAAGTTTAACTGACCCTTTATTTTCCTTTGCATTGTAAGCGACCAGTTCCTTTTCTTTCCCCTAGCAACCAATCAGTCCATTCGCAATTTATAGGGATTTCTTTGAGCTTGTACGTGTGATCTTCCGCCTTAACACTGGTCTGATGTTACAGGTTTTTGTTTTTCTGCATCCTAACCTGTAGCTGCACCCTCCCACTCCCTGTCCATTTGCATGGCAACCCTTTACCAGGCCAGCTGCTGCTGCCCTTTTCTTTCTTCATGTTGAATTCTAATCATTACTTTCAAAGGAAAGCGTCTCCAAAGCTCCTTTATCAAGTGTTCGTACTGGGAGGAGGCAAGCCGCTGTCCAACACCCACTCAGGCTACTGCTCTTCTTCTTAACGCTTCTGTTCTGCAAACCAGGAACATTTCCTATTAGTAACCTGCTTTTTCAAGTTTGGAGAAACATCGTATGGAAGAAGAAGGTAAGGATTACTAGTAGTGGTGGGAATTTGTTCATATTTTATTTTTATTTATGAAGGAGAATATCAGAAAACTTGAGATGGTAAATTGTAGTGGGATGGTTAAAGTCGAAAATAAGACAACCACCATTTGGAATAATTAGGTTTGGCTCTTAAAAAAGGATGAGCACCCATGAAAATGATACCTAAGTTGTAAAGCATGTTAAGATGAACTGTTCTCTGTCTTTGAGTATTTACTGAGGGGTTTATTTAAGAGTGAGCACATTAAAGATCATGTAGTAGCAGTGTACGTCACATCAGGATGACGTCTGATAAAATAAAAATAAATGGATATATCAGTACTTTTCTAGAAATATGACAATTCTGTGGGTTTCACCGACTAAAGTTATTCATTTACGATGCTTTTTCACACTTTTTTTTGTCACAGTAAAAGTGATAAAACAGTATAGGTGACACAAAATAACATAAATTTCTTCAATCTTTGTAGTAATTTAAGACTTTAGCACAACAATGCCTAATTCTAACTGATGAATGTATTTCCTCCAAAATAGTTCAATAATGTATGAAACTGAGCCTTCTTGATTTTCATGTCCAGTACACTAAGATCAGAGGGGGGTCACATCTGCTTCTGACAGAGTGTTTCACATTCATAACCAGCTGAACACACAGTTTGAGATTAAAGAAATAATTGCTTTTATACCAGTGATTATTTTGCTTTGAGTAAACACTCTACATGTAAGCACGGGAGTGTGTATTATTAGTCAAATAACTGACTGACTGTTAAATTTACTTTTTAAGGATTAAGTACATTTGATTTACTTTTTTTCATCCATGTTTCTCACCAAGCAAATGTCATTATTGAGGCTAAAAACAGACAAAAATATGAGATGAAACAGTTTTTAAAATACTTTAAAAATTACATTAGTTTCTATGTTTCTTTTGTTGCCTTTGAAGACAAACATTTTTCTCATTTTTAAAGATCTGTCTGATTTGTGTACACAGTTGTTTCTTCTTCTTGGGTAATTCTGAGATCCTTCTGCAGTCTGGGCTTAATACCATATGCTCATTTTTTGGGGGAAAAAGAAGAAAAATAAACATTAATTTATGGAAAACTGTGTGCACATCATTTAACTAACATTCTGAATTCAAATATATTTCAGTCTATTTCTTTGTTGAATCTGTGTGTCATCCTCCTCTTTCACATCTTCCCTCTTTCTTTCCAGTTACAAGTGAAAAATTATCTGTGTATGTGATCTTTTTTTTTTTTTAGCTCTGCAGTGATGCCATGAGGTTGATTCTGGTTAAACCCACCAATGCAACTCGACGTCTTGACTCAACGGGTGAAGTCTTCCGTGATGAGGACCATGAGCATTGTACCTCAGGAGGTCCATCACCTCTGACAAAATCTCCTGAGCAGATGCATGATCGATACTCCGGTACCTCTGTGGAAGCATCGTCTCCCCCACAGGAGACGAGTCTGTGCTGTGTTTCATCTTCACCCCACGAAAGGTCTAATGGAATCAGTCCGTCGCGAGTTTCAGCCCAGATGTCACCACTGAAAACCCGAAACCTAACCTTATCACAGCTGAGTGATCAGGATTGGTTGCTGCTTTGTGGCCAGGTTAGTGGTGTAGGAGATGATTCACTCTCAGCAGAGACAGCAGGGACCAGTGTGGGACATCCAAACCACAATGACAGATGTGGTTGTTCCTGTCCTGATGCACACCAACATACAACTTCTAGTTTTCATCCACAGTCTAAACAGGGCTCAGTCCAAGACTGCCTCTCCCGGGTTTCAAACAAGAAAAACCTTTCATCCTTACCACACACCCAGACTTTCTCACAAAGCCCCCAAGCTCTGACCACTTGCCAGGTTTTACCACAGCAAACAAACCAAAGGGATCTTTTGAAACCTGCAACAAACCATCCACAGGATAATTTCATGCTCCAATGCAGTGACCAAGAAGGTCGAAAGGAGCTGTTGCAGCAACAGCCTTGCAATCATTTTAAACTGAAAGACAGCAGCCAAGCAACTTTATTCAACATCCCTTTGAACTCTATAGAGTGTGCTGAAACAAACCAGAAACTTCACCAACATCCTCAGTCTGCTGTCACGACAGACCTCAACTGGAGAGAGCTTTTTGGTAAAGAACCACTGCTAGTTCAGCAGTGTCAAAAGCAAGACTCTCACTGCTCAACGAGCAGCGATCAAACCTGCAAGTCATCTGGAGATCCCTCCGTTGTCCTCAAGTGCCGTCATCTCCCTTACAACCCTTTAACTACTACACGCGTGAAGAGGTCGTCGACTCCAGCCAGTAACAAAAGTGTCCAGTCCTTCTCCACCAGCCAGTATAGTTCACTTGAGAACCAGGATTTAGTGGAGGAGAGAGCAAGACAGCGACAAAGTCAGGTACAGGATTTTCTTCAAATGCTGTAGCTTCCAGGCCTGGTGTGTTGGAGGTCGTTACCTAAAGAAATTAAAGTCTTATAGAAATAGTGGGTAACATTGTTAAATGGCAGCATTATAGCTAAACTTCATACCTGTGCACCTTTAAAACACATCTTTAAACACATCTTATGAGACTGTAATTAAAAGGTACTGACGGAACAAGAGAGAAGTTCTGTTTCTAAGTTATGGAAAAGATTTTCTACTAAAATCTGACACCGGAATTTAATTTAGGAATTTTACTTCCACTGCATAAAAGTTTGCCGTTGATGCGGTACTCCTTGAACGTCTTTCCTTGTGCAACTTTGATTGTCACATAAAAGCAGTTTGGTTTGCATGCAAAATTTGAAGCATTGTATTATGCGGTGTTTCCGCCTTTTCAATAAGCCCAGTTGCTGATTCTAAAGGCAATAGATAAGTATATAAGTATGTCTGATTAATTACATGGACTGTGCTGACTGTCTCACTTTGTTTTGCAGACAAACTCTCAGCACCTCAGTGGATCAAGACTCTCCTTTGCCAAACACACCCCACCACCTTCTAACACCTTAGAAACTGGTGGCATAGTAAACGGGGATGCACTGCGACCGCTGAGCAGCCACGGCACATCAAGTCACTTAGATCTCAATGCGGGCCAGCAGCCTCTTCAGCTCCTTCACAGTGCCATCCTGGAGGACGCCTTCTCCAAAGTTATCAGAGAAGATTCCAGTAAGGCCAACAGCGAGAACCTGACCAGGGAGGAAGGCAGCGTACCACAGAAGAAGACCAAGGACATTAGCTACCGGCTGGGTCAGAGGAGAGCTCTTTTTGGCAAGCGCAAACAGCTGAGCGATTATGCGTTGGTCTGTGGGATGTTTGGCATCATCGTTATGGTGATTGAGACAGAGCTGTCGAGGGGGTTTTACAGCAAGGTACTGTAATCCTCTTCAAACACGCTTAATTCATACAGTAGAACATGTACTGTAAAGCAAAGGGTTTCATAGAGCATTTTTACACTTTGTACAGAGATATCAAGTTTTCATCAATGTGTTCCGTTAAAATGTCCCATTACTGCCAACTTAGCAACGATGTCGCTGAAACAGCAAGAACATCCTTCATTTAGTGGGCAGACGTCACTTACTTTATTTGTTTTGGTCGTTCAGTGTCAGTCTTCACACCCGGATGCACTCGCCATGTTCATGTTTTTGTCTTACAGGAATCCATATATTCATATGTACTGAAAGGCCTGATCAGCCTCTCTACTGCTATTCTTCTTGGACTCATTGTGATGTACCATGCGAGGGAAATCCAGGTATGTGGAAGAAATAAGAGAACTCCATGCATACCTATGGTCCATGGTTCCTATATTATTATCCAGTATTCTTAGTACTCTGAGTGGCAAAATAGGCCATGTCAGCCATGTGGTTAATCTGATTTGTGGTACATCCTGATTTGTGGTACATCCTGGGGCACAAAAGTGGACAATCTACTGGCTCCGTATGATAAAATGCCCAAAACCCTGAATAAAACAAAACAGACAAACCTGAATGCTGATCTCAATTGCATCAATTGAACTTTCAAATCAAAAACTACAGTCCAAACAAATAGATTTATTGTTAATAAATAAATACTGCTTCTCTTCTCCCTACAGCTCTTCATGGTGGACAACGGAGCAGATGATTGGAGGATAGCTATGACCTTTGAGCGGATCCTTTTTGTTGTGTTTGAGCTCCTTATCTGTGCCATCCATCCAATTCCGGGCCAATACGTGTTCACCTGGACTGCCCGACTGGCCTTTAGCTACACAGCATCAGTAGCGGACGCTGATGTCGACATCATCCTCTCTGTGCCGATGTTCATGCGCCTCTACCTGATTGGCCGGGTCATGCTGCTCCACAGCAAGCTGTTCACAGACGCCTCCTCCCGCAGCATTGGGGCGCTCAACAAGATCAGCTTTGACACTCGTTTTGTCATGAAGACTCTGATGACCATCTGCCCCGGCACAGTCCTGCTGGTCTTCAGCGTGTCCTGTTGGATCATTGCAGCGTGGACCGTGCGCGTATGTGAGAGGTATCAGCTTAAAAGTTCTCACTCTTCCTTTTAGTAACCAATTCCATTGCTTCAGTATCACAATTCAAATTGTGGATATTATTTTGAGAAACCCAAATCAGTCCTATCAGAAAAGACTCTCTGTGTTTAGGATTTACATCAGTCTGTCTCTACAGGTATCATGATGCACAGGAAGTGACCAGTACCTTCCTTGGAGCAATGTGGCTGATCTCCATAACCTTCCTGTCCATCGGCTACGGAGACATGGTCCCTCACACCTACTGTGGGAAGGGGGTTTGCCTCCTGACAGGAATCATGGTGAGATTTGTTCGGATACAGTTAAATCAGACATGTGATTGAGGGTAATCCCAAATTACAAACTACAGTATAGCAACATTTTTTGGCCTTAAATTTATAATAAACATCATAATGTTTGTATAATTGTGTCTCCTCCTCAGGGAGCGGGCTGCACAGCCTTAGTGGTCGCTGTTGTTGCAAGGAAGTCAGAACTCACCAGAGCCGAGAAGCACGTCCATAACTTCATGATGGATACTCAGCTCTACAAAAAGGTCTTTACACTCACACATGCACATTTATTGTATGTTATTTTTAATGTTCCATCTGAACAGTACATTTTTGACGATATTGGGTCGGTTTATGTTTTGTTTGATTCATGTCTCAGACTTTCACAGGTCAACAGTCAACACAATGATTTGACACAGCATACCAGCAAAACAAAGCACATGGCACAAACGTTACTTACTGTAAATCTGATTGGAAACAATTCGTGACATTCATATTCTGCTGTGTAATCTGCCTGATGTCCTATCCTCCTCAGATAAAAAACACAGCAGCCAATGTGTTGAGGGAGACGTGGCTCATCTACAAAAACACAAAGCTGGTCAAGAAGATTGACCATGCCCGGGTACGCCACCACCAGCGGAAATTCCTGCAAGCCATCCACCAGTAGGTATAAATATGTCATCACCAGAGGGAGTACAGAGTTAAGACAAACAGAAAAGACATTCCACCATCACAGCTTGAGTAACATGTAGATAGATAGTTACATTTTGCTGGTGCCTTTATTCATATACATATGTAATGATTTCAGTTTTTAGCAAGACAAACTGTACTCTGCATTTATTTTACTTGAGTCAAAAGTGACTTTGGTTCTGATTTTCAATTTTAGACTGCGAACGGTGAAAATGGAGCAAAGGAAACTGACTGATCAGGCCAATACAGTTGCTGACCTTGCCAAGGTTTGTATATGCAGTAACTGTGTTTTTTTTTTACTTTACTTGGATGTTTGGAGCTTCACTGTGCAGAATGATGTATGAGTTTTGACGCTAGAAGACTGTTTTCATTTTCATCTGCTCAAGTGTCTCTTTGATCACCTTGAATGTGTGCGTACAAGCAGGATTTTGTAACACTACATCTAGTTTGGAAGCTAATAATGGTCCAATATGCAACTTACACAAGTGTGATGTGGAAACTTCACCAAACACAAACACCTATTGTATTGTTAAGATGCAAAATGGCACAAGTATCCAAAGTTCCCACAAAAAAACTGAATAAACAGCGATTTATACTATGTATATTTTTTCTTTTATTAATTAAGAAAGTGTTATTGCTACAAACAGCAGGGCCCCACTATGGGTAGCTGTGCACTAAGTACTTTTAGTAGGAGAAATTTGTATCTAAATTAAACAGAACATATCTGTATATTAATAGATTATGAATTTTTCAATAAGGGAGAATGTTTTTCCTTTTAAGAAGTTGTATGTGTAAGTTTTCACACATATTATCATTCAAAACTTAACTTGAAGGGATCTGTAAGTTTCATCAAACACACAACCAGAAAACATCTATTTCTGTTTTTAAATATTTTTCGATCAAATTCCCATTAATTTAGTAATAACTTCCTACTGTATTAATAGGCAGATCACTTTGCTCTTTTGGGGTCTGTGTGAGGTCTTTTTATTTTATACAGTAATGTGGAATGGACTCACTGAGGGCCAAAAGCCTTACTACTGTAAATATGCCATATTATGGAAAAACTCCATTCAAATGGGATTTACATGTTACCCTAACCCCTTATTTTTCTACTGTGTATTACTGTGCATTGGCGGCTGACAAATCCTACCTTTTTACAAAAATCTTTTTTAAATCTTGCATTTTTAGTTACTGCGACCACTAGATAAAATTAATTTTACTTTTAACTTTTCTGTGTTCAAAAATATGTCTTTGGCGTAGATGTTCTCCACTCCACTTACCCTGATGTCTCCTCAAATAGACCACAACATGCTTTAAAGTCGGATGTGTGAACTGTCCTCCCTGTTGCTTTGCAGACCCAGAACATGATGTATGATCTGGTGATGGAGCTGCAGCATCGAAGCGAGGAGTTAGACAGGAGGATTGTAGCTCTGGAGGAGAAACTGGACTCCATCCTCCTCAGCGTGCAGTCGCTGCCCGTTGTGCTTTCTCAAGCAATAACAAAGCTACAAAAGGATTTCCTGGACGACTTGGCCTGCCGTGTCCACTTCCTGTCATCCTCCCTGAGCTCTGAGTGCTGTTCAGTCCCTGCCAGGCAGCTCTATCCAGGATCCACCACACCAGAGACACCATACAGCTCATAGGCCTCACTCAGTGGTTTTCAACCTTTTTTTTCATGCTGGGAATGATTTTCTAAAAATGCACAGCTACCATCTCATACTGAGCACTTCCAATGAGAAGGGAAGTACATCATTTAGGGGATAAAAAAGGGGATTGTTATTCCTTAATTTCCTCTGCTTAAAGTTAAAGTTAGTCCAGGCACTGGGTTTTCACCTATGAAGAGACAAACATCAGTCCATAGAGCCTCCTTTGGTCCATATAGGAAGATCATTTATATGGTTCATGGAGTTAAAACTTTGTCAATAAAATCTATGATGAAAATTAGGTGGACATTTTTCCAACATTTTTCCTAATTCCTTCATTCCTAACCAATCATCTATCTTGCAGTATTTTAGTTCTGAAACTTTCTCAGAAGTGTGCTTGTGACTGTGTTGTTCCTACAGTCACAGTGGCTATAAAAGGAGGGAGAAAGGCTACTTCCCCTTTTAATGCTGAGGCTGCATAAGATGGGAGTATAATGAAAGAAAATAGAATGTATAATTCCCTTATTAGTGTAATGCTATGTCAACTAGAAGACATCTGCTATAGTTTGTGAAGATTAAGAAAAAGAAACTTAAAGTCCCCCTCCACTCAAAGATATGTTTTTCTTCTTGTTCCTACAGTTGGATGTTTGAGCTATTCATAGATTCTGGTATTTTTAATGAGGTAATAAAGCTACTTTTTCACACACATGTTATTGTTCCAAGCAGATGGTTTGTATATATATCTTCATACATGTCTGAAGGGGATCTTAAAGTTAACTTTTTAAAGAACGAGATCAGTTTTTCTGTTCCTGTACATCCGAGCGTTGTTGTTTTTCCTGCTGCATTAGGACAATGTTTTCTGCATTTTACAGTAAATGGGGCCCTCCATTAGAAAAAAGTGAGTAGCCATAGAGGAGGGATTGTCTATGATTACTTTCAAAGCAATAATGGTCTAGTGCCAGCGCTGTTATTTGCTCACCATGAGAAGTGTAGCCTCCCATGGTAAGACAACAGTTATGATTGTGTCAAATGCTAGATTAAAGCCTAGAGGGGAAGGAACGTTGCAGTCAGGACACCTAGACTTTAGAAGTTTGTCTGAAAGTATAACATTTATTAAACACTAAAACTTGTTTCATTTAAGACCTAATTTGCTGCTTCTTTTCCTGTGTCTGTCCGGTATCAGTAACTTTTTAAGTTGCAATAAAGTGTGTTTATATTTAATAACTGTATTAGTTCTGAGACCGTCCTTTTTGTTTCCCTGGCCTTAGCCTACACAACATTAATATTTTATGTGTGTGTATGAAGCAGTTTAGACATAATGGAGACATACTGTGTCTCTCACAAGTGACGTATACTTTGTAGTATTTAAAAACGTTTTGTAGCAGCAACACAGTATTTAAGACAGTCACTGGTAATAAAACCTCTTTCCAGAACTCCATTTCTGTGTTGTTTTACTCACTTAATCAAATATAAATGTGTATCTCTTGTCGTAGATGTCTTTATGTTTGCCTTGGCAGTGACACCTCTTTTGGGAAATGGTATTAGCAAAACAGTAATACAGAGAAATATAGGTTTTAGGAAAGTTTATTAATTTTCTTTGTTTTAATTTTTATTTTTTTTATTTATCTCTGCTGTGCTTTGCCGTGGCTCGGCCCCGGGAAGCGCTCCGTTAAAGACCACAGACACAATGGCGAGGTCTTTGCCGCGGCTCCCAACTCCATGCGCACTTTGGAGGAAATTTGAGAGAAACCCCCCCCCAAAAAAAAATAAAAAAAAATAATTTTTTTTTTGCGTCACCATGTCGGTATGATTTGGTTGTGTATCAGGACGGAGGACGGCCATACCATATCGACTACAACGTGGGCGCTAAACGACATAGTCACAGCTGCTTGTTAGGCAGAAGGCGCCCCCTGTTGATGTCGTCAAACAGCAAGGACAAAGAAGCTGAGCTCTCTGACTCCGACTTGCGTGGTTGTGGCTCAACCAGAGTGAATCTGACAAGAACTCAACTCACGGTGAGGTAGAGGGTCAGACCGCCGGCACCTCTTGCCCAGACAAAACACCCCAGAGCTCGTGGATCCAGGATTTGGATTTACAAGGTGCGTTTTTACAAAGCTGGTAGTTTGCATTGAATTAAGTAGTGGTATATTTTTTGCCGCCAGTGTTTGTGGTTTTCGTTGTGTTTGAACATCACATCAACAATAGTGTTGACCACAAATGCATACATTACAGTTACACACAAGCATTATTCACAGCTTGCATTAAAAGCAGATAGTTATACCAATAAAAACCAGTCTTTCCCCTCATTTGCATGTTTAACACTGTATTTTTCAGGAAAAGCTTAATTTCATGTCTTTAATTATATCCATGTGAGGCTCCACAGCTCAACAGTCTTCAAAGCAGCCATGCTCTTCCAACATAGTGAAATGGGCCCTCTGGTGGAAGAAGTCCATATAGTTTAGTCCTTTGTTCGGATGTTTTTATACAACGTCCTGTGGTTTACTTCAAGGGCACAAGTTGATTGTTGATTTGATGATTGATGATATTGATTGATTGATTGATTGATTTATTGATTGATTGATTGATTGATCGATCAGCGTATCAAAATAAAGGATTTGGTATGAAACAACCTTCAGAAGGTTTGGATCTGTTAGACGATTCCCCATAGACAATCA